GGGGGCACAGCCAGCAGGGGCACCTCGGTGTGGCCAGTGGGCAGAGGCACCCACCAGCGCACACTTCTCACCAACAGCCTGTCACAGCTTCCTGCAATGAACTCCTGGCTAACCCAAGAAATCCACTGTACTTCCCCTGACAATAAACACTCCTGCTTTTGCTCGGTGTGAAATGCTCATCTGCAGCTCTTCCCTCCCAGGCCCTGTTTCCAACACTCTTCCTTGGAGGCCTTTGGCTTTTTTGGTATCTACAGTAACTAGCAGTTTTGGGAAGGGCCTTTCCAGCAGCATCACGATGCAGAGAGCAGAGCACATCACTTAAGGTACAAGTGAAAATTTGGAAAAAACAAACCTGTGGGTCACAGGAAAGGAGAGACTTTCTCAGGAGGTGGTAAGGAGATGAGAGCATCATAACAGGAGGAAACTCATACAGGCCAAATGCATTGACAGACACACGTCCTCAGGAGGTGCAAGTGTGGCCAGGCTCCATCTGTCTGTGCATATGTGTCCAATGGAAAAAAACAGGCACAACTTTGTCTACAAGAGCTAGGAACTACTGGGCCAGGAGAGGTTTTGTTTCCTGTGAGCTGTCCAAGCCTGTCCCTCAGCAGCTGTAGCCCATCTGACCCCAGTGCTTGTGTTTCTGTGCTTGGCCACAGCTCAGCCAAAGTCCCTGCAGGTGACAGACTCCAGATCATTCTGCAGCTGAAGGGAGACACCTGACATTTTAAGAGCATTGTCATGGCCCAACCTGTTCACACCCATCTTTTTTAACTCCTTGTTCAGTAGGTTCCCTCACTGTGGGGTGGGGACGTGTGACCTCTTGCTGGTCACAGTCCCCTTACTCCTGTGCTTGGAATGTGCAGCTGGGCTCCTCTGAGTCTGGATTTCTCAGAAGTACATCACCTGCAGTGGCTGTGGCACACTGTGCCCTGCTCTACCACAGCAGCTTTGGCCTTAGCTTTCCAGAGTCTGAAACTAGTAGAGCAGATGGTCTCAAAGTTTCTTGACTCCTGATTATGCCTCCTGCCACCATGTAGCTGTCCATAAACACAGGTGGCCCGGGTTAGAACAGACTGCTGTAAAAGGCCAGGTCAAAGCAGTTGGTTTAAATAAGAAACACCAGGGAAAACTCAGTGCTTCCAAACGTCCCCAGTGCAGCAGGTTCTAGAGACTCAGTCTGAAAATCATCAGGAAGCTCTCTGGTGATTTAAAGAGCTGAAGAGGTTCCTTCTGATGTGTTTAAGAAAAACTGCACAATTGCTTGAGTGATCCTGTTACTTCCACTCTAAGCAAAGAAGCAGATGCAAACCAAAGAACCACTATGAGGGGCAGGATTTGAAGGCTGAGGGACTCGTCAGCTGCAGCAGCAGTGTCCAGATTACACAGCCTTAAACAGGAGTGAGGCATCTGAAGGATGGATGTACTTTAAATAAGCCACAGCCCTTGTGCAGGACTTTAAAAGGTTCTTACAAAATAGTTCATCTTCAGAAGAACTTGGAGAGTGGGGGAAGATAAGGTACAAGTGAAAATTTCACCCTTGACCAATTTCAACCCTAGCCCTAAAGACACATTAGAGACTATCACCAGGAAAATCAAACCTCCTTCCAGACACCCCAGGATGGCCCCACAGCCTGCAGACATGGCCTGGCATGGTTCAGTGCTGACAGCCACCAGACAGGCCCTTTCCAGTTCAAACCCAAAAAACTTACATCTGTAAAGGTGGCTCCAGACTGGGAGGAAGGCCATGTACAGTGCAATGTCTCCCACAGTGGGATAGGACTTGAAGATGGAAATGATGGCGATCTGGACAAACATGAAGAACATGGGGTGCTCCCTAGGAGGGAAAAGACACAAAGGGTAAGAGGGTGCAGCAGGGGCTCTGGAAACTGGATGTAAACAACAGCAAGGGCACAGCTGTACTGTGGGACAGGCTCAAAGAGGCTCTAGTAGCCACGTTCTCTCCAAACAAGCCTCCGAGGGCTGGGTGGGACAGACTGAGCTGCTCTGCAGAGAACATCTGCTCCCTGCAGTCCCACAGGAAGCCCCTGCCTCAGCCCCACCTGTACTTACACAGCTCTCATCTGGGTGCTCTTCCAGCTCTGGCTGAGCCACCAAAGCACAACCAGCAGCTCCCCTCTGGGGGTTATTTGGAGGAGCCCACAGTTACCCTTCTGCTATGTCATGGCCCCTGCATCTGCTCCAAGCCAACAGGATAAGCTCACTGAGAATCCAGGCATTAATGGGTGTTTTTCCCAGAAAGAAGGGTAAGGTCAGTGCAGTCTGCTAGGAATGCCCCCAAGTTTTCACTTTTTATCTGACAATAAAGAACTAGAAGTTCCAGGCAAGAGTTCTTGCTTTCTGACTACACTGGCTTGCTCAGGCAGGGCACAGGCACCTCTAGAGCCCAGATTTCTGCTCTCCCCTTCAAAGGCCTGTGACACATCTGTTGCACAGCAGAGCCCGACTCGATCTGTGTAAGAATAAAGACTGAAACTTTGGGAAATGAGGAGGATAAGCCCTGTTAAAAAAAAAACTAACTTTTTTCAGGCTTGCAGCTCCAGATATTTGATGCCAGCTTTATAAGCTCCCACCAGACAACTGAGAGAAAAAACTAGCAGAGAAGCATACTTACTTGAGCTTTATTGCCAAGGGAATGGTGTAGAAGAATACATTGATTTGAAACACACAGACAAAGAAAAGACTGAAGTGTTCAAACATCTCTGCAAAGAAGTACCAGAATAGGCCAATATTGGGTGTCAGGTCTGGAACAGAAAGGCTGAAATTTGAAAAGAAAAGTCAAGGTAACTTTTTAAAATGGTTCATTTTCACTGCCTTGCTTCTGTTACATTAATTAATCACTGTGTGCTACTGGACAGAGGTCTTATATTTTAAGCGTGTGGAAGAGAAATCAAAGGGGTGAAAACCTGGAGAGAAAAGGGACTAATCCTTCCCTGTGCCCCTGCAGGATTTAAACTGTTCCCCAGCAGACATTTCTCCAGAGACACAAACGTCACAGCCATGGTAGCTCAAAGATCAAACCCATTTCCAGTCAACTCAGTGGAAAACACCTCCTGTCTTCTCTAATTCTTGCTTAATTAACAGAAGCTGGCTAATGCCTGCTCTCCCCCACACGCTCTTTCTCTTCTTGCATTGCCAGCAGAATCACAGCTCACGTGCTGCTTAGGACAGGGAGCAGGGCACCTGAGTGTGATGCACAAGAAACAACCCAGTGGGAGTAAGACAGAAGAGCCAGTAAGAACCCTTATACTTACATAAACCCATAAACAGAGGGGATAAAATCCCAGGAGTTGAGGAGGAAGAAGGAGAGGCAGATGATCACCACCAGGCTGCACAGGTACAGGGCTGCGTACTGCAGGGTGTAGAGCCAGAAGCTTTTACTCCTCAGCTTGACTGGTATGAACTGGCGCTGGAAGTGAAACACAAGCAGGCAGAAGCCCCTCATTAGGTGGAAAGCCAGGAGAAAACCCAGTATCCCCAGCATGGTTTGTGCCTGAAAGCACAGCAGCTAAGCTGGTCTCTAGCTCTGCTCCTGCCTGCAGCGAGCCGGGTCTCAGGCACCCCGTGCCAGCCCCACAGCAGCTCCCCACAGCTCCACCTGGACCTCAGGTCTCTGCAGCACTGTACAGCTGCCTGCCTCCTGCTGCACCCTGCTGGGTGACCCAGAGCCCTGCTCCACCACCCACCACCCTGCCAGGCCAGGAGTCCACCCCACGGACTGGCACCCGTGCTCTGCTGAAGTCAGGGCAAGAGGACACCCAGTGCTTCCCAAGCACAAAGGAGCCTTCTCAGACAAAGGCAAGTGCTGCAGCCCTTCCACTGCCACACAGCCAAACAGGCCCTTGTTCCACAACGTGACATGTGGGTATCTCACTCTGAGAGGTCCCCTGACTGCATCTGTAAAGCCAAACACACACATAAACAGTTTGGAATTGCTCAGAGTGCTGCAGCTCCATGGTGGTGATGCAGCTCTTCCACTTGGCACGAGGGTTTACACTGGCAGGGGATGCACAGAGAGCCAGCTCTACCTGATGGGGGCTCTCCTGTATTTAATGCCACTTCCTGGAACAATGTGAGCAAGTTTACATGGATTTTGGCAGGACAGATTAAAAAGTGCCAGAAAAAAAGCTTTTTCATTCTGTGCAATGAGCGCAGGAAAGTTCATGTACAAATCTGGATAAAAGAACACACACTGGCATCACCCCTTTGAAAGCTGCAACTTAGGCATTCATGTTTCAAAGTGCTGTTGCTGGGGAACACAATGCTTGGACTTTACTCTGACAGAAATTAAAAGAAAACAAATGAGACCAAAATATAAAATACATAATATATAAAGTATATGCTCCTAAAAATTGCAAAACTGAGAAAGCAACACTGACTCTGCAGAAGCTCTTGTCTTGCAAAGAGAATTTCTGTAAAAAAGTAAGAAATATTCATGTCAGATAGCCAGGAAAAGAAAATGGACTCCAAGTGACTGTCCATTCTCTTTTGAAGCTCTGAGATTTGAGAATGAGCTGTAATTAACTTGCATTAAGATCAGCCATAAAAATCCTGAGGCAGGCAGGACAGAAGCAGCCAAGACTGGTGAAACACTCAACAGCTGGACTTTCAGAATGGCAAAATCAATAAAGATTATCACCATGTGACCTGTGAATTGGGATGAGAGGCCTCTGCTAGCAGTCACAGCCTCCCCCTGCTGCCATACCAGAACAAGACCAGTAAGGGACCAGTCTTCATGCAGTGGATTCTGCTCTGGAGCCTCCGTTACCCCACTGCTTATGGTGTCAGCACCAGAGCTAAGGGGGAGGCTGGTGGGAAGCACACAGGCCAGCCAGCAATGAATCCACTGGCTAGCAAAGAGCTGCCTCAGCTTTAAACCCTGTCCCTGCCTGCAGATGTGCCCACCAGCCTGCTGCTGGGCTGGTTTTCCTGGAGCACTGCCTGTCTGCTGAGGTGCTGGGTGCCCACAGCTGATCAGGGTCGGCCCTGCTGGGAGTCAGGGGTCCTGCTCATGGGCAGGGAGAAAGGACAGGGGCAGCCAGCCACTCTCACAACACCTGCCTTTTGCACTAAACTCCCCTTCAGCATGTCCAGCTCTGAGTGATTTCAAACACAGGGCTCCTCCTCCAAACCCAGCTCAGTGATCCATGCCAGGGGAGTGCTCCAGGTCTAAGACCCCCACTGCCCTTCACACGACACGGTGAGCAGTGTTTATTCTGGGTGAGCTGAACACCAGCTCTGTACATGACTTTCTGCTCCCCTCTCTCTGGGCACAGGCATCCCCACTAAGGCTTCCAACTTCCCATGGCTTGAGGAGTCATTTTTTCCTGAAACTCAGGACTTTCCTGACTCCCCTCCCAACAGCTAAGGGCTGTCCCTGAACAGCTACAGGACAAGGAGAGGTCCCAACAGTTAGAAGTGATCTACCTGCAGGAGGTACAGGAGTGCTGGAGCAAACAGTGTGAGAGGGTAGAGTGACTGGTATGTTGCTAAGGCCAGGAACACAGCACTGAGGAAGGCACTACCTGCAAAGGAAAAAAAATGTCTTCATTTGTAGGGAACATTTCATACAAACAGCCTCACAGCCAGGAAGCCCAAATGGGAAGAAACACAGAGCCCTCTGCAGGGGCCTACAAACATCAGAGCTCCCCCAAACAGGGTTCTTAGCAGAATGTGTTCTGCAGAGTGTCCTTTTTCCAACTCTGTTTGGAATGGAGGATGACTCATAAAAAGGTGATTCTCCCACAGGAAAGAACTGCTGAGTGCTTTGTGATTCACAGACAGCAAGGGCTCATGTCACCCAGTCTATATATAGACCCTGCTGGCTGCTGTTTATGCATGGAATGTGTTCACCTAAGTCACACCCACGTGAGACAGATGTTCTGCTGGGCATCTGGACACCCTGTCACCAGAGTGCACCAGGACCCTCAGCAGGGCTCTGTCAAAGACAGCAGGAGACAGTCTGCAGCTGAAGGAACCACGGGGCACCAGCCCTACCTGACAGGTGCCAAAACTGAGGCACAGAAAGATTAGCACAGCTTTTCCAAGTGGTCTTAAAAATAGTCATGCCTTTCTCTGAGGTGTCTGAGGTTGAGGTAGGTGCTGAGTACTTGCACTGCCCAGCTACCAACACCAGAAATGAAGCCCAAAAGGTCCCAGGGTAAATGACAAAAACAAGCTCCCAGTGCAGGAGCCTGGTTACAGCTTTCAGTCTTGTGTCATGTGACAGAATTCATCTGTGAAAACACAGCTTAGACAGCAAGAGTGCCAGCTCAGTGCACTGGCCTGACCATCAGCATACTGACATCAAACACAGGGTAAACTTCTCTCTGTTCCACCTTTTGAAAGAGAAAATACAGGGTTATGTGGTGATGAGCCCTCTCCATCCTCCAGCTGCAGTCTCCCAGACAGAAACCTCCCTATCCTCTACTTCATCAAGTGTTCAGCTCTGCAGAGATCTAAAGGACTAGGACCCAGAAATCACAGTCAGAATCTGATGTCCTCTTTGCCCCCTTTAACACCTAGGGGTTGCCACACTCCCAACAAGGGAGAAAACACAGGGGACACCCACTCCAGTTTTGTCTATGCCTTAACTCTTTGTCTTACAGCATCAGTGAACAGTTAAAAGCCATTTGAACTGAACAGACTCCACCTGTTTGCTTGTGCAAATAGTTTTATATCATATCCTTTCCTGCCTCAATTAGTCAATAACTGGAGGAAAACTTTCTTTTAGAAATAGTAATGAAAACTAACTCTATCTTTCTTTGAAATACCTCTGCTCTGATCCAGCAGAGAACTCCTAAAACTTATGTGACTAGTACTAATCACATATGCCAAAAGACTTTAGCTCTTGGAAGCCATAAAAGGGAGAGAAACCCCAGAAACCTGGTGTTATGCACAAAATGAGTGAAACAGGTATTCTGTCATGATCTGTTCAGCAGTGCTGGTATGGGTCTCTGGTTGCCACCTCTGCTTCCCCAAAGCTCAGTTAGGTAATTTCAAAGCAAGCTTACAAGTGTGAGTGGAAGGCAGGTAACAGCTGCAGGCAACCACTTGCTTTTGAATAAAAGTTCAAAGATACACTTTGAAAATAAATTGTACACAACACTTTAAGTGTGTATCCATGTACAAAAGAAAGAGCAGCAGAGATTTATGTCCTCCCACCCACAGACACACATTTCTTCATAAACAGAAAACTATTTTAAGTCATCCAGGAAAAGGAGCCCATTCTTAGAGCTGAAACTCCTAGGTGCACTGAGGTCAAAGCACCTTTTGATTTGACTCTAAAGTCTCTTGATCTTGGGATTTCAGACACAACTTTGACCTTGCTCCAGTCCTGTTTCTGCTGTGCTATAAAGATCTCAGTGAAATATTGATTACTATAAAGTTCCACCTTGATTTAATTTCTGCTACTTTACTCATCTTCATAGAAAGCCATAAAGAAGCATTTTCTCTTCACTGTGTTACCTTTGATTGTAGCCAGAACGAAGAATGCAATGACAGTGTTGTTGATGGCACAGGTGGACTTTGCCACACAAGACATCACAGTGTAGGGGTTTAACAGGTAGCTGGAAAAGAGCAAAGCTCCAGTTACACCCAAAGGAGGCAGCTTCTACTTACAGAGGTGTTCAAAGGAAAGCAGATGCACTTTGCCATTTCCCTTTCTTTCTTTACATGTGACATGCCCACCAAATTAAGTCAGCTGAACAGGTTCTTTAGTCTGGAGCAAACCTGATCTTTGGATTGTAGACCCAAAACCAGATCAAGATTTGGCCTTGAACACAGTGGCCACAGGAGCACACTGGAGAAATGGAGACAGTTGGGCAGATGTCTAAAACAAGATTTATCCTAGAAAAAGACTACCAAAAATGTTTCTTGCTTTGCCAGAAACACTGCACATTTATGCAGTCAGAGCCAGGATCACTGGGTCCAAGGTAAACTCTTTCTGCTACACCTAGTGGCTCTGAAGAAGTAATTTAAATAAGAGGATACCAAGATGGAAACAAACCCTGAGAGACTAGCAGAGCTCCCTCAGCCTGGCTGCACTGGCACACTCCTGCTGTGGCAGGGCAACCACTTCTGCTCACCATGGCATCATCTGAGCACAAAACCTGCCAGCTATCAAAATCTGGCACATTTTAACTGGAGCTATGGGGAGACAGCAAACTCTGAACACCTTCACCTTCCAGAAAGCAGCCACACTTTCATTGCTAACAATGCCAGCTCCTTCTGGAAATGAGAACTGCAATCATCTCCTTCAACTAGGTTCAAAGCACAGAACAATGTTTGAAAGGATTACCAACATAATAGGCAAGATAATGGACAATCAACCCTGCTAGTAACTAAATCAGTCATCAGAGTGACTAGAGAGGGCTGATGATTTTCTCATTATCTCTTTACATTCTTCCCACTTCTCTGAGTCCCAGTCTGCCTTCTTCTGTTTCCAGAGACAGCCTGCAGCAGGGCAGGTACAATCTAAGGCCAGTTTGGCTGCAGCAATGTGCAACAAGGTTAAACACATGACAGTCTGCAGGTTACTGACTCCACCTTTCCTGCCCAGAGGAGTTCACCATTTCACAAATTTTATATGGAAATAAGGAAAAAATAGTATCTAATGGAACATTCTCTCTGACATGGAATAATTCAGATAATAATTTATTCATGTCAAAGCCCAATGAAAGAAATTATTTGGCATGAACTACCTTGCTTGTATATTATTTATTTTAGTTGAAGCTTTCTGAAATTTTTAAACCAATTGTTCAGTATACAGAGGGACACCAAGACACCACAGAAAATTCAGTTTCTGGGGGGAAAAATGTCAACCAATGTTGAAGCCCTAAATCAAACAGTTAAACCCCAGAGGGAGCTGAGGAACCACAGCAGCCCCCTGCAGCCCCCAAGGTGCAATACTTACAACAGTGCTACCTTGAGGGGGATGTAGTGCATCTCCATGGGTGTCTGGATGAGTTCAGCCACATCTGGTGCATACTTATCCAGCTCGATCAGGAGCTTCTGCTTCTTGAACTGAACAAGGGAGAACCACCAAAGACTGTCAGGTGAGGAAAGCCATCACTTCTCATTACTGGGGACTCCTGTCACTGTAGAACTTAGATGAGCCCCAGGTACAAGCCAAAACTCACCCTACATGAGGTGTTGTACAAACAGAACAACCCCCCTTCCATGCTCTTTTCCCACATACTCAACAACTGAGCTGGAAGTCAGGAGAAAGCATAATCCTGACTGGTTTGAACTTCTTCAGTTACCTGTGTCTAGCTCTTGACATAGCTGACAGTGAACTCACCACACTAGAGTTTAACACTTTCAGTCTTCCCAAAGCCTGTCTGGATCTCCAACAAAAAGCTGACTTCATAAATTCACTGTTCAACACACAAGTCCCTGAGAAACCAGGTCACAGAAGTATGCAGGCTTGGTTACTTTGCCAAATCTCATGAGGGACCCAAAATATCTCCCTTGAACCTATCTTGCTCTATGATGCTCTCTATGGAGACAAAAGGGAAATCTGGATGATGAACCTATGCCCTGGAGAGACAGGAGAGAGGTGCTGGCAATAAATTCTCAACGAGCAAAGTAACTCATACACAGGATTTTGACATGTCTGCAGTTCTATCATGAGCTATTTCTTCAACCTCAAAGTCAGAGGACAAGGAGCATGTAGCTGGATGGGGGAGCAGACAGATGCTGCAGAAAATGCAGGCTCCCCATTCCCACTGATCCTGAGCTGCTGCCCCTCTGGGGTCACAGAGAGCACAGCACTCTTACCCAGAACAGCCTCCCACCCACCTAGGAGAGGAATCACTCACCTCCAGATACAGGTACTTATAATTTAAAGGGAACAAGTAATACCTGGTGCCAGACCTGCCCCTTGCTCACTAGAATGATTCATGTCCCCCCAGCATCCTTGGCAGGCTTTATTCCTTCCTTTACACATGACCAGACCTGCTGCAACAAGGACTGGCTGAGACTGCATCCTCTGGCATGTGTTTTCTTTGGTACAAGATAACTACACCTGCTGGGAGAAGAGGACCAGTAACCCTGGCAAGTCAGCTTACCACAACTTTGTTGAAGTCCTGGATGGCCAAGTAAAGGGCAACAGCAGTTAGCACATCAGTTATCTAAAAAGCAAGGCACAGAAAGACTGGCTATAAGCAAAACAAACAAAAGGAGAAAAAGCCACTGGACAGTACTGCAATGCTGAGTATGCCCCTGATCTGACTCAGCTCATGAGAAGCAAAACCAGGCTTCAAAAACACTAGACTGCAGGTTTGGAAGCTGGGCTCCCACACACCACCTAACCTTCAAGCCATGAGCTGCACCAAAGGTACTCGTACTGACAGGAGTGGGGAATGAAGGGGAAAGAAACTGCTCATGGAAAGAAGTATGTGAGGAATCCCAACTAGAGGGAGGCTGAAGGTCCCTGATCCTTTCAGGAGTAAAAGGAAAGTCATACCCAGCATTTCACAGAGCAGGACCTTTCAGGGTGAGCTTTCCAGGAGCACTTACCATGAACACCAACTCAGCGTATTCAATCAGGAAGTGAAAGAGATATATTATCAGTGGGGTCTAAAAGAGAGCAGAAGGGAAACCCGTGTCAGGCACTGGCCACATAAAACAGCTGCTGAGTTGAGGGGAAAAATGGAGTAGTACCACGGGAGGCTGTGAGAGGGAACTCTCCCTGCCCTGTCCCACAGTGCTGTTACCTCAGAGGAAAGTGGTTAATCAAAGCACCTTCACTGCTCCTCTTTGCCTCACCCCTAGGTGCCACTGTGTGGATGTACCTTCACAGCAGCACCACCACCCAAGGGCACAAAACCCCACAGGTGCTGAAGCATTTGGAGGAACACAGTGTTTTCAGGGTGAGGAACAATGTACTGCAGGCCTGTGCTAGGAACAGCAAATGCAGAAATTCCAGATGCTGCTGCCCAGTACAATCATGTTCAGACTCACCATGGCACTGTCTGCCCCTGCTCTGGCCTCTGCCAACAGAAACATCTGGATGTGAGCAGAGCATTTTACTTATTACAGCCTTCCCCTCTTTTGGCCTCTCCTTATGCAGTAACAAATCCTGTGGTGTCTGTCACCTGCCCAGCAAGGAGCTGCTCTGGGATGAACTGTTTCCTCACTGTGCTGGCCACTGCACATACACCCACTGCACAGACAGCTACACATCCCCAGCTCTCTGAAGGCCCTGGGACCAGCCAGCTCCCCAGCTCTGTCAGTCCAGGAGCAGTAAGACACAGAAGTGTGCCACTTAAACACCACGTTTACAATGAAGCATGTTGACTGACCTCATGAAAAACAGCTCCAGAATATGGTGAGACCCCCAAATCCAGCAGAGCCAGTCCTTCCACCACTGAAACACACAGAAGGCCTGCATTAGAGTCCTGGAACGTGGGAAGAGAAAGATCTCACCGTGGTAAAATGAGAGGCTTTAAAACACCCACACTCCTAAGAATCTGACAATGAATTGCTGTCCAAATGGGTGACACAAACTCTGACAGAGCCAACAACCAGCCAGAACTGATCCTTACTTCTGCCAGGCCACTCTCCCCAGTGCCTGAGTGGCCAGCTGTGAGCTGTTCATTTCTTTCAGCTAAAAATGTAATAGCTGAAATGTTTTGCACTTAATTATATATAAATCACATGTATGCTATTCACTGATTGTAAGTCACCTGTCATGTGACACGTGGTACCCATGGTGGAGAAACACTCCTCAGAGGACAAATCCAGACAGAATACAGAATTTGAACTGTTGCACCTAATTAGATGTAGAGAGACCTGAAACGTCCAAAACCACAATACAAGAGCAGACAGGAAAACGTATTGCTAGGTAAAGCTAAAAGCTTCATCTGCTGTTGAAACTTCCTGACACTTTGGAGCCTCAGTTCAGACCCTCTGAGCCATGCAGCTGCAGCTTGCACTGTCAGGCACAGGTTCCTGCACAGGCTCTGCCCCTCCTGAGCACAGAGGATCCCCAGGGATCCAGCCCCGTGTGTGTGGAAGAAGCCCCTGGACACGATCTGTCTGCCCAGAGGGAGGTGAGCAGGAGCCTGCAGGCAGCAACCAGAGGTTCTCAGTTCAGCTGGAGAGGCAGATCCTGCCTCTGCCAGAGCTCCTGTAGGATGCCAGCCCAGGCTTTCCAAGGTGATCCTAACTATGCTCCTTACTCTCTACATCAGTGGATCTCAACCTGTGGCCCGTGGACCTCTGGGGGGCTGCAATGTCACCACAGGGGGTCTGCAAAGGCTTAAAGCAGGGGTGGGAATGTCCAGCCTGGAGACGTTTGGCCTGGCCCACAGAGGAAGAGCAACACATAGAAATACCCGTGGATGGTGCTCTGAAGCTGCAGCAACCCCTCTCTCCAGATCTGCAGAGCCTTGGTGTGAAAATGGAAATAAATACTTGATACAGTCCAGTGCTTTAAATCCTGAATTAAGACTTGGTAGTCCGTGGCCACAAAGGTACTTATTGGGGGTCCGTGGTGAAGGGAAGGTTGAGAACCCCTGATCTAGATGCCCACCTTGACACTCCAAGGTAAGATTTAGAGTGTCCACTGCGGCAAGGGAATTTTTGTGAGCTGCATTTTGAAAGGATGAAGCATGAGGTGCTACACGCTGTGGAGCAGAGGCCTCAGGTCATCAAATGTTTTCATGCTTTTGACCTTTTTCCCTCTGTGCACCGTTTTCCCTCTGAACTACTAATAATTTAACCTGTAAAATAACCGGGTATTACTGTCCCAGAGAGGGGTCTTTAAAGCAAACTGAGGTTCCCAACAGGCTCGGGCGCTGTGGAGGTGACTGCGCCTGGGGACAGCGGCCGCGGACCGCCCCGTGCCCGGCCCGGGC